TCATTTTTCAAAAAAATTAGCACTTAAGTGATTGTTTTAAAAAAATTTTAGCACTTAAGTGATCGTTTTTCAAAAATTTTAGCACTGAAGTGATCCAAAAAAAACTTTTGGCACTTAAGTGATCGTTTTTTCTCCAATTGGCACTTAAGTGAGCCGGCGAAAACTTTTGGCACTAAAGTGAGCACCGTTCACAAGTTATGGCACTTATAGTGTCCTTTTGCCCAGATAAGAATAGTGTCAATCATTAGCTGCTCCAACGATTTAATGAGCCAATCATTCATCCAATTTATGTCGGTAATAAGCACCTAACGTTCTTTCCTTTGTGAAGATAGGCCTACCCAGCCTAGGGCAAGCACGAATATAAAAACATCCCGTGTTAATTTGAGACGGTACGAGACTTAAGCATACTGTCGAACACGAGCTATGTGAGATCAGAGACATGTCTAACATCGAACAGCCCAATCTCGACTCTAATGTCATTGAGAGCAACCTTACTTGACCTACCATTGCCACCATGCATCGCGCTGGTTAGAGGTCATGCAAAACCCATTTAGCGGCACAACCTATCCTGATGTGAGTGACGTGGGATTATAGGTGTGTCCGACGCTCATCACTTTGTCTACATTACAACGGTATTTTGAGCATTTTTACACATCAAATGAAGTTTATATCCTCGGTTAGGTAAAAAAAATGGCCCATTTGTATATGTCTAGAACACTAAGGCTACGTTTGTGAACACTTTAGGGGAAAGTCTATGGGGAAATGCAAAGGACTTTAAGTTGAAGGAGTTTTCCAAAATGCAAATTGTGTTTGGTAAATTGTCACTTAAAAGTCATTGCAAAGCAACTTTGGGTAAAATAGCGTTTGGAAAAATTATACTTGCAAGGCATTTTTTACAAATTTTATTAAAGAAAAGTTGAAATCCTTTGCCAAAGCCAGCGAAGGGTAGGCGGCCGCCGGCAACCCAGATTTGGCGCCGGCGGCCGTCGTCTGAGGCCGAATGACATCAGGCAGCCCCCGCCAACCATCGACAAGGGCCGCCTGCGGTCGAGCGACCCCCAATGAGGGTCGCAAAACCCAGGCGAGGGTCGCCGGTGACCCAGATCTGACGCTGCGCAGTCCTCGTCTAAGGCTGGACAACGAGGGAAGCCCCGGCGACCACCGAAGAGGGCCGCCTTGCTTGGGTTTCGCGCGGCGTCAAATCTAGGTCACCGGCGGGCCTCACCTAGGTTTCGCGACCCTCGTCAAGGGTCGCTTGACCTTAGGTGGCCCTTGTCGGTGGTCGGCGGGGGCTGCCTAAGGTCGTTCGGCCTCAGACGATGGCCGCCGGCGCCAGATCTAAGTCGTCGGCGACCCTCGAGGACCGTCTAGGTCGCGTGACCTCAGGTGGCCCTCGCCTAGGTCACGTGGCCCGTCGCGGCGGTCATGCGACCCCGTCGCTCGACCCCAGGCTGCCCTCATCGGTGGTTGCCGGGGGCTATCTAAGGTCGTTCGGCCTCAGACAACGGCCACACAGCGCCAGATCTAGGTCGCTGGTGGCCTTCGAAGGTCATCTAGGTCGCACGACCTCATGCGACGCTCGCCTGGGTTGCGTGGCCCCTCGTGGCAATCATCCGAGCCCAGGCGATGATCGTTGGGTTGTGTGACCACGCCAGCCCCCCTCCGACCGATCGCCGTCCCCTCACAGCCATGTTGGCCGAGGTGTAAGCGAAGAAGATGATGAACAGTGATAGACGAGGCCAAAACCGGAAAATCAAAAAATAAATGAGGGTAGTTTCGAAAGAAATGTTTTTTACTTACCTGGGGGAGTTGCATGCCGAGAAAACTGAAAGCCCAAGGTAGCCTGGGACTTGCCTTGGGCTTTCAGCCTTCACAAGGCTGGCTTTTTCTCAATGGGGTTGGCAAAAAAATTTCCCAAACACCAAATTTTAGCCTAAAGGGCTTTTGATGCCCAAAATGGCTTCCCAAAGCCATTTCCAAACGCACCCTAAATAATCTTGCCGAAAGTTACTTTCTAATGACTTGACGTTAGGTTCAAAGAAAAAAGACCAAATGTTGAGGGGAAAATTATCAAAAAAATCATAGACCTGCGGTATGGATACCAATTTAGTCCTAAAATTTTCAATTCAGCCAATTTAGTCTTTAACTTTTTAACGATTTATCAATATAGTCCTTCCGATTTTGCCAAAAAATCCCCAATGTGGACGCCAACCATCTTACGTAGCATGTTCGGTATTGAGATGAATAGTTTTTGCATTTTTTTTTAAATTTCTCTTTTAAAAAAAATAAAAAATAGAAAATTCAGAAAAAAATTAAAAATTGAAAAATTTATTCATGGCAGTGCCGGCTGTGCCATGTAAGACGGTTGGCATCCACGTTAGCGCCACATTAGTGATTTTTTACCAAAATTGATCTAAATGACTTCATTGGCAAATCGTCAAAAGGCGTATGATTAAATTGGCCAAATTAAAAATTTTAGTACTAAATTGGCCTTCGAATAATGGGTTTGAAACTCTTTTAGTAATTATCCCAACATCAAGAAATAATGTTGAGTAGGAATAGAACTTGAAATATCAGCTGAAGTAAACAAAACTGTTCTGTCCACTTGATCCGATCCTCTGAATAAAAGAAAACAATGTCAAAAAGAGAGAAACGAAATTATTTACGAACAGGACCAAGAACTCTTTGCAGACATCCGATAAAATTGAAACGACATTATGCGTGCTCGTATGCTTGAGCGCGTATCTTACGGTTCTTTTTCCTTTCCAGGAGTTCCATTTTTCTAAGCCGATGTTCGCCAAACACCCTTTTTCTAGAGAGCGAATCCCACCTTCCATGGATGGTCATAGCATCCATTTCTCTGCGATGCCTTCTTCTGTCCTTTTGCGGGAGCACCATTATTGCCGAAGACAGTGAAATGCTGCTTCGCATGTGACGTTTGTTGTTTCCTTATGGAAGGAGAGAGATATAGCAGTAACGACAGGATAATGTTGTCCCGTTCGGACAAAAGCTTGAGAGACAGCAGACTTACCGAAATGAAAAAAATGGATTTGAAGCTTCTTTATCTAACGCACGTTTCGGCGGCAAACGCACGATTTTTACCCTTCTCTTTGGCATTATTTCCTGGGGTCTCTCTCCGTCACCACTGGTCCAGATCGTAGCAAAATCTAGGTACACACCTCGAATTGTCACCTCCCAAAAAGAGGGCACGGAAGAGTCAGATAAAAAATAAAAAACTACAGTTGTACTGTGAGAAAGAAGAAATATACATGCATTTGTTTTAGTTAGCGTTAGATAACCTGTGCTGTTTTCTTTTACTTCACTCCTTAAGTTCAAACCACATCTTCATCTAACAGTTTAAGCTATTTGAACATTATTAGTGTCTCACGAAATCTCACATGATACAAAACATGAGGTCTTGAGTTTGAGTATTTTCAAGTTCCTATTTGCCTTTCCAATGAAATATTTCCACATTTGGTACTAGGCAAGAAGAGCAGACTAATCGTAAATGTGAGCCACACCATAGCCCCTAGATACGTTTGAGTTGAGTACGTGAGGAGGACTCGAATTGAGCATTCGAAGGTGGGATTGAAGCTTTCTCAATTAGTGGATTTACATAGTATAAAATTCATTCATTAACTTCCTATTTATGTCACTAACAATATTTATGGAAATACGCAAGGCAATACTTTTCCAAGTTTTTGGCCTCCATACTTTTTCGGGCAAGTTAGCCTATGTGAATTTTTAAGATCAATCAGGCAACAAACCATTACATCCTCAAGACTATCAGATGTAAAATGATTCATTTTTTTTTTGTTTAAGGCATTATATCTCGTGCATGAAACGGGTCTCGTTCTAGTCTTAGTTCTTAAAAGGACCAAGTTGAAAAAATCGATCATAGATTCCAAATGCAAGTTTCTCTTAAATTAAAGGCAACTCACCAAAAACACACCTTAATTTTGATCCGCTGACCATTTAAATAAATCTATCCTTTTGCAAATATCATTCACATACCGCTAAATGAAACTCCAGATCGAAAAGGCCAAGTTACTCTTTCTTTTGGCGTCTTGCTTAGGGTTTTGATGGTTAAGCTTTAAGTTGGTTTTGACTGTTTTGGGTAGGAGTGTGAATTTAGGATTTGGATATGGGCAATTTGGGAAGAAAACGGCATTTTAATAAACAGGAACACAGATAATTGATGCTAATGTACAAAATGGTTTCTAAAGGTAAAACTCAAGTATGTGTTTGGTATCTTTGACAATAGAGGTATGTAATCGATCATTTAGATAAAAGGCATGTTTTTTGTCTTAAATAAAATCTAATATATGTTAACCTATTAGGGCTAAAGCAATCGGTTGGGATGCTAGAGAACTTTCAATTTAAGGAACAAAAAATGACCGATACGAAATCTGTCTATACACAATAAAAAAGCAATTGCAAATTCGATAGTCTTAAAGCTTCTAGGCCATTTTTTTTGCCATTTTGTTTTGGTCAGTTCTATTTTAACTCTCAACTCACTCTCAAACTTTTGCCCTATCTTTTTTCAGATCGTGAAAGTCAAAACCAACATCTGTAATTAAATGTCCTCACCGCTAACTCCTATTGAGAAAGCAATTGTAAATTCGATAATCTCGAACTCATTACCTCTTTCTTTCTGAGTAAGGAGGATGCTCACCGAGATAAACCCTGTGGTTTGTTGCCACTTGGCTTGGTTGGCAACAGGAGAGCTTTTCTCTCCCTTGGAACCACTAATTTATTGTCCTTCATGTGCCATTTTAATTGTGTTTAACTATATATAAGACACAGGAAAAGGAGAGATCAACCATAGTAGGCCCCGCGATGACAAAACAACCAGATGTTTGTCACCGTACACCTGTCCCTTCTCTTCTTCTCGGTCCGCCTATTTCTTTATTCACGGCTGTCTTCTGGCGGCAAACCTACGAAAATAGACTTTCAAGCAGGAAAATTTGCATTCTTTTTTTCCTTTTCTTTCTTGTTTTAATTTGTCTTTTTCTTTTTTTTTAACCTTTTTGTTTTTTTGGTGTCTCATTCTCTGTAATAATGTAATTTCCGTCGAAATATCGAACTTCGTTTGGGCCTTTCATCCACAGCGTCCACCGTCTCCGTCGTCGATGAAGAGGAGAAACTCCCTTCCCTTCCACGACTTGGGCACCCCGAAGGGCTGGACCTCGGAGCGCGTCCCGTCCGCCGCCGCCGCCGCCGCGAGCAGGGCCCACGTGAACCCCGCCTCGTCGCCTTCGTTCTCGCCCTTCAACAGCAACAGGACCTTGCCTTCCAAATGGGAGGACGCCGAACGGTGGATTTGCAGCCCCGTCTCCGTCAAGAACTCGCACCTCGCCGCCCACCACCCCAACGGCCAGCAGAGGCGGCCCAAGTCGAAGAGCGGGCCGCTGGGCCAGTCCGGGTACTACCCCTGCTACTCGCCGTGCGTCGACGGGTGGAGCGGGCGGAGCTTCGCCTTGGGGTCGCCGTTCTCGACGGGCGTGATGGTGGCCGACGAGGGAGTGATGGGCTGTGTCGGGTTGGGTCGTGGTGGTGTGCTGAGTGAGAAGGGTAATAACGATGGCAATGTGGGTCGGTCTGCTAGTGGCCTTGGGTGGTCGGAGATGGTGGGTGAGTTCCGATGTTGACTTCTTGTTTTTTTTTTCCTCCTTTTTGTGGTTGTTGCTGGTGTGATTGGTGGTGCATTATAGATGCGTGTGAACAGGGCGTGTGCTTCAGTTTTAGAAATGATTTCTGGGAAATATTGAGGTATGTTCTGGTTCAGAGGCTCTTCTCAATATGGTTCTTGTGGTTTTTGGTTCAGCTTGTAGAAGATAAGTTTTGTGGCGTGTTGCTCTCTCTCTCTTTCTGTGGTTTTGGTGGAAACTGAGAATTCACTTCTTGGTTTTGTTGAAATTAAACCTTAAATTAAATGGACCTCTGCTGCAGCTTGAAATTCGCTTAATGTCAGCTTGGAACCTTAATGGTTTAACGATCTGCAGATGAGAAATTCGATTGTACCGAGGATAACGAAAATGGGGTTTCTCGTGCCGTCTCGAGACGGGACATGGCGACTCAGATGAGCCCAAAGAGTAGCCCCTGCTTGTCTCCAAAGAGCAGGCCTTCTAGTTGTCAATCTCCTCCATCCCAGAGCTTAAAATCCAGTAAGTTGGAAGTGCGGGATGTGGGAATAGACAAGCGGGCAACCATAATTAGCTGGTCCAGGAGGCACGCTATGAGATTCTCTAGAAAGGACGGGCGAGGTGTCGAGGACTCGAATAGATTTGGCAAAGGCGAAGCTCAAGGATCATCTTGGGACATGGTGGAGGCCACGAAGAACATGTACTGGTATTGTTCTACTTAATGCCAGTGTGAGGTATCATGCCTTGTTTGCACCATTCATGTGAATAGTGTTTCGGGTCGACCTGAACACCGATGAAGGCACTAGGAAGTAGAATCTAACACATGGATGGAGATGTTGCATAAGCTGATATGCATATGAATATGAATCTTCTCTTTGGCAGGTTGCAGAGGGAAGAAGCAAAGATCACGGCCTGGGAAAATCTACAGAAGGCAAAAGCAGAAGCGTCAATAAAGAAACTAGAGGTCGGCCCTTCGCTATTTTAGCTCAAATGAGGGCTCATCTGACATCTACTTAATGATGTTAAGGGAAATTAAATGAGTATCTATTCCAATTTTTGCCAACAAAGGAGAGTATTTTCAACATATCCGAGGACCTCATTTAAGCTAAAATTGTACACAGCGGACGGGAAATTAATTTTAGAAATAAAACAGTGGCATGCCTGGACTAGTCTTTACATTTCGAAGTTTGAATCAGCTTTATCTACTTTGGCTCTGACAATGTACTAAGTTGCTATAAGCCTATACTCAAACTCCTCAAGTATGATGCAGTCTGATATTCGAATTTTCACCATATTAGTCACGGAAATCAATTTTATTCACTTTGTGAACATGTAATTTTGGTTCAGATGAAACTGGAAAAGAAGCGCTCCACAGGGATGGACAGGATATTGAGCAAACTGAGAACGGCTGAGATAGCGGCTCAAGAAATGAGAAGCTCGATCATGCAGCGCCATCAGGATTCCAAGGCTTCCCAGAAGAACATAATCTTTTGCAGGCCTTTCCGAGTGAACTCCTTCAGGAATTGCTTACGCTGCCATGAACTGTAGTTTCTACCGAATTGACTCAAGATGAAACCTTGCAAAGTCCTATCTGATTAAAAATTGCTCATCTCCGACCAGGTCCGTTTCTTCTTCTTCTGTTCAACTTCTTCGTCTTTCGCAAAGCATTAGGGAATTCCTTTACTGAGACTGGCTAGCTGTTTGTGTTCTCAGATTCTTTTTTACGTATGTTGTATGATATGATCTAATACTGTATGATACATGTAAAGCAACGAGCATTAAAATATCGTCACTTGGCGTAATGTTATTTTTATGCTTTCTATGATGTTCAGTAACTTCAATGTATTGCACGGTAGTTCACTCAAGTGATTACCCAAGTTATTAAGTCGGACATTCTCAATTCGAACCGAGCAATTCCATTCGACTCTAGTCCAAGCAAGTCAACTTGATGTTTGGAATGGAGAGAAAACAAGAGTTTGCGATCTGGTCAAGTTTCATTCCCAGTTCACTTAATTTGCTGAGAAATGATCAATTAGGTCCTGCATGTTATCTTGAAGTTACCATCTTGACAATTTGAAAGTGAATTTGAATTGAAACCTAACTTAGTATACAATGATCGAATGCGTCAAACGACTGAATTGTGGGAAGAACTTAAGTTAGGTGCATTGAATGACTAAGATAATGAGAAGATTGACAGACTTTGCCGGCCGGGCCATGGAAAGAAGTCTGGACCACTTCATTATATCTTGGTTTAGAAAATGGAGGAGGCGAGGTGGAACTTGCAATTTGTTTACAATTATGGCTTATGAGATCGAGAATCCTGGATCACGAGTCATGACATTGTTGACAAACTTCAAGTCTTTGATCAAATGAGGTTTCTCTGTTGAATGTGAGAATCGGGAAAGAGGAGGCAACGCGATTTGAAAAAAAAAACAAAGGAGGGGAAATGATTTGGATAATAGATTGCTGGATAATGAATAAGATCAATATCTTGGGAGCCTTTGCTTTGATTTTGTATCGATTTGCACTTGTCTTGATAGAGAAGTTCGTATTTTTTGTTAATTTGCTAGATTATAACGACCATTTGATTTTCAAAAAGGGGTTAATAACACCAATGATCTCTATAATTTTGTTTGAAAATTAAAACCGTCCGTCTATTTCTTTTTTTATTCAAAAGCGATCCTCTTTTTGAAATGTTCAACTGTCAGTTCTCCGATTATACTTTTTTTCTTCTAATTACCAATTGTTTTTTACCAACGTGGACAACGTGTTTGCTGAGTTGGATATTACATTATAAATGTCCGGCTATGACTTGTGAAATTTTCTACATTGCGCTAAATATGAAATCTTCTATATGGCGCCAAGTATTAACATCAGCCAACATAAAAATGAGAGACAGATAGAGAGAAGAGAGAGAGAGAGAGCTTCGTCAGACTCGACCGTGGCCGCTTGAGTTTCGTCAAGCCCAGCACCATTGGCACTCTTCGAGCTAGAGCCGCTTCAAGCTAGCGGCCATGGCAGCTCGTGCTTCTTTGAGAGCGTCAAGCTTACGTCTCAACCGCAAGGGGTGATCATGAGCAGGTCTATACGTATTACGTGTTTTGTATCGTTTGGGGTGTTAGATTTGGTGGTTTCTGTTTGGATTCAGTGAGGTTTAAGAAGTAGAAGTTGCTTATAGAGAGAGAGAGAATGTGTGTCAACATCGAAACAAAAAAAAAAAAAAAAAACCACGCCGGCAAATTCCATCACCGTATCAATCCGAAAATGACCGATAACACTTTTTTCCAAGTAGATGGAAGCTTTTGGACAAAAGTAAAAAAGGCAGTTATAAATTTTGAGTAAAAATATGGACGTCACTAGTGACATTTACCCTTTTAAAAACAAGCATTTGGAATCAACATCAGAACCAAAGATCGATGGATAACATGCAACATGTTGGCTCTTCTCTAGGTCAATTATACTCACTGAAGGGTAGACAAATCCTCTAATGTCAAGCTTAACAAGAATTGAACTTGAAACATCAGACAGCAACTTTGGCATGATGAAGTCGGTAATGAGAGCTTTTTACTTGAGCAAGATGAAGAAAACTAAGATCCTATATGGCCCACCAAGTTCCACTTGTAACTCTCTGGTTTGGATATAGATCTTGATCAACATAACCATTAAGGCTCCAAAGTAATCTGGAAAACTTCCTATCTCTAATACACATTAAAGAACAAAAAAATATTCCAATAAGGAGAAAAAGAATTCATTACGACCATCATAATACTGCCCACCAATGTGCCTAGGCATCATCTTGAACCGTCTGTTAACCTAGCTTATGCCTCAACGGAGCAATGCCACTTCATATAGTCAGCATCCTCGACGTTGTCAATCAGGAAATGCGAAAATCACCACGTCCCTAATATGGCCTATACCTGCTATCAGCTCTTGATGGTCTCACGCCACCATAAGCATAACCCCACTGCATCTACAGAAGTAAGCATCATGTACCAATTAGTGAAGTCATACTCACTTCAGAAAACAAGTCGTGCAAAAGAGCTGCTCTACTTACATCATCAAAATCCAGGCTTCCATACATCCTGCTGTAGGAACGTATTGGACCACCATAGCCTCCAAAGGGTTCGGCACCACTCATCATTAAACTTCCTCCAGCAGCAGGATCATCAACGGGGGTTGCCGAATCTATTGCTACCTGAAAAACAAGAGGATGAAGAGAAAACTGATCATGAAAAGGAAGGAAAATGCACCGCGATTAGCATCTACACTCATCTAGTATCCCTTCTAATAAGAAACTAAAACCTTTAAATGCTCACTGAGCTACCAACTAGAAGCATAGCATCAACTTTCAGAAGCATCTAGGACTTACAAATCCACAGTTTCCTAAGACTTTCTGAAGACTACTTCAGCTCAAATTTTACCATATCCTAGATTAAGATGGCATCACAAGTACCAAGCGCTTTATTCGATAGGTCCAAAGTTTGCTGAACCTGGAAAGTGCCAACATGGAGAGATGTAATCCAATTACCGTCAAAGAGATATGTGCTTATCTTGGTTGGCGCACCCATCTCCAAGGACAGCTCACACAAGACATGTAACCTAGTCACTTAATTGAACATTCCCTCTGAATGGAGTAACCATGAACAGAATTTGGTCATACTAAGTGTAGATTTATGTGGTAAATTTGTTTAAAAACAAATCATGTGATCTACTATACCATTTGTAAAGAATAGATGCTCTCAACCCCATACCCGTAGATACAAGCAGTAAAGTGAGAAATTCTAGGAAAATCAGCATTTAATTAAAGGAAACTTATAAGGGGTTTACTTAAATACCTGATGTCCACAAATCTCATGCGGTCTGCGAGAAACGCGATCAGCTACTCCATCTTCCGCAAAAGTTACAAAGCCAAAACCTCTATGTCCTGATCTCCTAGGGTCCTGCAGGAAGTAAACATTCTTAGGGCAAGATGATCTCGACAGTTGTCATCATTTGCACTTTAAATTCACACCTATTACCTTGGGAACATAAACATCCAGTATCGACCCAAATCTACCAAAATACCGCCGAAGATCTTCTGCACTCGCTTCCTGAGGAAGCCTGCCAACAAATATTTTTTTCCCCATTCCTCTAGCATATTCACCTCCTATTCCATAAAAACAGCAGTAGACAGTAAGGAAGTGAATGGATGCATAAAGTAGTCAGATTGCAAATGAAGATGTACTTCATGGAGTTTACTTTCATAACTTGAGCCTGGATGATCATATAAGGTTGGGGCACCAGCAGCCGCATATCTAGTAGCAGCTGATATATAAGCATTATATGCACCATATCCACCCTGTGCCATTCTGCCTCCTGATCCCTGAGCCATTCTGCCTATTGGTCGAAAGTCCTCTTCCTGAGAACATGACAATGTGAGATGTAGCTGGAAGGAGTACATTTGCTATGTACATAAAACGACTTTGATATTATTTAATCTGAAATCTTCTAAGAAAAGGACTTCCATACCACAGAAGATATCAGGTGCAATTTTACATACCTTCGGGGTTGCACGATCAACGACAACTGTGGACCCTCCAAGCTCATGAGATTCAGCCATTAAATTGTCCACTGAGTCTAACATCGGGAATAAGAGAGATCAATGATATCTATTCTAATATATGAGAGAGAGAGAGAGAGAGAGAGAGAGAGAGAGAGAGAGAGAGAGAGAGAGAGAGAGAGAGAGAGAGGCAGATTCATCCCATCACAGTGCTCCCAAAATCATGAATGGAATTGATGGGAAAACAAAGTGAGCAGCGACCACAATCGCCCACATCATCAAAGCAATGCAACATGAATAAATAGAATAGAAGGGACCAATGATTTATATTTCCAGCTAAGCAAACATTTGCTAGTGATAGAATAAATTAGCACTTAGTATTGTCAGCAATGAAGCACCAATGACTATCAAAGGACAAATATTTGATTTCATTAAAATACCAGCAAATATCAGGTAAACTACTTGTACAGATATTCGATCATATCATCCCATATTTTAAACTAACTATCAAGAAGATCGAACTCTCTATATTAGATTGTCCAAATCGACAATTTGATATCACGATATAACCAGATGTCTTCAGTCACAAATCAGCTTCAGTTGAATTGCTCGCAAGCTGCGTAGCCACAAGTTGAGAACCTAAAGCAAAATAAAGAAGCTGCAACAATCTAGCTGTGTGACATTCTCTAAAACTGCTTATCCTGAAAATACAAGCTTCCTCCTAAAATCAGCCTAAGAGAATATTCTGATGCATGGGCGATGTAATTTACTTCAGTCATCTCCAGAAGTATGTAGTAGCTCTATATCTGTCATACCATCCATTTTCCATTCCAGGCGCTGTTTCTCTATTCCCAAAAGAAACAGAGAGAACCAAACAATGAAAATAAAAGATTCTTCATAAAAAGGACTAACCTGCACTTGCATAAGTAATAAAACCAATTCCACGGTGTGTTTTTGAAGCATAGTCCTGTACACAGAACATGTCAAAAAAGCAAATAAACAACTTGGATCGAAGTTATGCATACTTAGCACAGACAATGCAAAGGTAGACACAAGCATAGTATTTGATCTTTGCAACAGCTTTTGTATATGGACCAAGTGCGTCACTTCTTCAAAACTTAATGATTGGAATACAATCCATGCACCCTCTTTCTTTTTGGAGAGAGAGAGAGAGAGAGAGAGAGAGAGAGAGAGATCACCTTCGGCATATATAAGTCCGATATCTCACCATATTTCTCAAAGTGACTGCCAACAACAAGGATCATGCTCATCAGGACTTTCTATAATTTAACAGTCAAACAATCTGTATCTTGTCAACTTGATTAATTACCTCCGGAAGGTTGACTCGGTTACAGACGGTGGGATCCTAGCAACAAATATTCTGGTAACTTTTTTTGGAGGGGCTCTCATCTCCTCCTGTCAAAGAGGAGAAAGGTAAAAAATTTGATAGTATCTATATCCATATATATAAGGACCTGTTTCTAATTTGCATAATAATAACCTTTGGCGTAGCCACTTTCACTTCCAGTGTTCTATTGCCAAGAATGTGCTCGCTGGATAATGCACTCTGCAGGGAGAGCAGATATTCAGTCCGAAGTAACCAGGAATCTGCGTTAATTTTAATGAAGTAGGTAACAAGACAAAGTAACCTTAGCATCTTCAGCCAATGTAAAAGTCACATATCCAAAACCGCGAGATCGACCAGTTGAGCGCTCCTAAAAATGGAAGATGAGAATGTTATATGTGGTCGGAATGAACATGATACCAATCATAGGCAAACATACAAACAGAATGAAATAATGAAGTTGTAATTCTGCAATTACGGTAATCATAGAGCTAACTTCTATTAAATAATCCTATTAAACAAATGTCCCTGCATGCTTCTCAGAAAAGTGCCCTACTACATGTATCAACTTGAGTAATCACCCTAACCAAAGCCAAGGGGAGTATAGGGTTTCAAAAGTCGAGCTTGCTTTGTACTCCTCTAGCATAATTAGCTAGGAAAATCATACAGAATCCTCTAGTGTATCCTAATACCTGTTCTCTTAGATGCTAGTAAAGGGCCAAGTGCTTCCAGGAGTCGGAGGCATCTGGCTGCAGTGAGTGAGTATGGAAGAATTGTAGAGGAAAAAAAATCAATAAAGATTGGTTCCTTTGGCAGATTTATAGGGGTAAATCTGGTCGAGTGTGGGAAAATGCTTGGATCACAGCCAACAGAGTTCATGTGCTACATCCTTTTAAGGAGGAAGCTGTGGTAAAAAGCCAAAGGTTGAAGAGCTGATTGATAAAGATTGTTTCAGCTTGAACTTGTCTAACATTCAAGTGTATGGGCTTGGGGGACAGAGAGAGACGCACACACCAACGGAAAGGAATGCACAACAAACATTAAATCTTCTATCACTAGCTTTAAGGAAAGGCGGAGAAAGGTAAAGATAGAAGGCCATCTAGTTCTCATATAGTAGATGAAAGGACATGGACTGCAATTTGAAACTTAGACCGTCCTAGCCCTTTTTTCTTTTGATATCTGACCAAAAACATGCAAGTGGGAAAAACCACAAAGAGAAGCGTACCTACTTATAGAGCAGAGCAGTTTTTGTAATTGGTACATGCTTTTTTCAACCTCCCATAAGAACGATATACTGACTTTTATCTGAAGAATATGTGACAATAGCTTTTATTCAATGAATAATTGATCCGAATTCTAAAAACAATCATGCTCTCTAATAAGCATGAGTAATCAAATGAAATAAAGCGGCTCGATAAAACCCCACACCTAGAGCTGACATCATATAACCCAGTTGACACATTGGAGAATAAGCTAAACCTCTTTTAAAATCTTTTTGAGCAAGAGCTACTAAACCAAAACATTTTCTGTGAAATTTATGTGCAAATGGAGTGGCAACCAACAGTTGTTTGTTTAAGAAATAAAGACGTGGCAGTGCTTTCACCGATTCAGAAGAATCAGGGGAATGCATGAACCTGTTGTGTGGTTGGAATGTGTATCTAGCTCGGAAGTTTTGAGTATTAAATTTAAATAGAAACGTGCAACAATTTTTTACAGCTGGCCGCACAGGAACTTCAGAGATAAAAAAAATTTCCAGGAAAAGAAAAGGTGGGTATGAAGTCGACAGTAGCAATCCTGTTGCCAGCAGTGTTTAACAATCCACCAGAAGTTATGCAGAGATGGCAGAGAACTTCCCTGAATACGGTAGCCTGGGGAAAACTGACATGAAAATGTTTTTGGAGAAAGCTAACCAAAGAAGAAGGAAGAGATTAACCGTGGAGCAAATCAGGAAGAGGAGATGTTCCTGATGGAGCCGTGGGTAAATTGACTGAGAATCAGGCGTTGCGATGTTAACTAAAGATGTAAATGGAATTCTTGTTGATGGGTTCGTAATGAAATTGACACTATTTCAGCAGAACAGATTGAAGCTTCTGATATTAGAGAAAGTTTGGCACACACAAAGGTGAAAAATAGGATGATAATCGGAGAGTTTGATACAGAGGAAGCCTGGTTGCAGACAACGCAGAACCAACATTGGCAGAGTCATGTTGAGTTTTAATGACTTTGAAGATGTCCAGCTTTATCAAGATCAATTAGAAAGATCTGATGGCCAAATGGCATAACTATCTAAGGGAAGAAGAAGGTGTTTCTTGTAAGTAGGAAGTTAATATCGTTATCTTCTTCATAATGTTCGTTACTCGACCATTCAAAGCATAATCTTCAATAGTTGGAGGGGTATCTCATGTAACTTGATCTGGTGGAACATATTCAAACTCAACCAAAACAAAGTCTATGCAAGTCTACGAGGTCTCTCCCACGGAGCAAAAGAATCATGCTCCATATTCGAGTGACATCATTCACAAAGATAAACTTTCGCGCATTCGTTATCTGCTAATGTCGAGTCATAACTTCCAATTAAAGAAAGAGAGAGGGACCAACATTTCTGATATCAAAATCTCAAGTATTCGGTAAATGGAGAAAAGCACCAACTTAATCACCCAGATTCGTAAGAGAGATCGAAAAAGTAGAAGCCGCGTAGCCTACCATCAAAGAATCCTAAACACTCCGATATATCAATTCACTCGAGCATGAAACAGAACGAGAGAGATAGCACACCTTCATGACAATACAATCCTCCAATTCACCAAACCTGCTCATGTATTCTCTCAAGCCATCGGAATCAACCTCCCACGGGATACCCAGAACCTGAAATTCCCGAAAAACAGCCGCAAAACAATCAAACCAAGAAACATGTCGCGGAGAGTCGAGATTCCGGCGACCCCAGAAACGAATCAGGGCAGAACCGATGGACGAATCGCCCGAGAACGACACGCACCACGAGCTTGCGATCCATGAGGAGGAGAATCGGAGAAGAAGGAACGGCGCCGGCGAACCCTAACACTCAAGATTCAAGAAAGCCCTCTCGGCGCTCGGGGCACTCGCGGGCCTCTCTCACCACAACACACTCTCCTCTACACCTCTCACACTCGACCGCGCCTGCACACAGAGAGCACACCTCTTTCTCACACACATACATCATCGAATTCCAAATCAAACTCACCATCGTCGTTGCCTTCAAAGAAGAGAATCAAATTACGTTCAGATCACGCGCTCACTGACCTCACTCCTCCGGTTCAATTCGATTTCCCCAAACAAAAAACCCTAGAAAGTCAGCCCCTCTCGTTCGCTCTCCCCCGTGCGCTCTCTCTCTCGCGACTCAGGCACGGCGGTTGTGTTGGCTTCCCTCGTCCCTCCAATGAAGCTCCTAAACTATTAGGATGTATGGAATTAGAAATAATATTTTTAATATATATAAATTGAGTGCAATATGAGTATGTAACAGCGCCTGTGGCCTAATGGATAAGGCGTCTGACTTCTAATCAGACGATTGTGGGTTCGAGTCCCACCAGGCGTGCGCTTCTTATATAATATTATCAATCTTCCCTGTTTTTTTTTTTCTTTTTTTGGTTTTAAGTTTGGTATGGTAGGATAGGACTCGAGAAAGTAAGGGCGTGAATGATAATCATTCCGTTCCAAAAATAGATTTATGATCAATTCTATTTCTATTCCCTAGACTAGTTTCTGAACAGAGATACGAGTTTGGTAACAATATAAAATTTCTCCCTCTTACGCCTTTTTCTATTCATTGATGGGCGCCCGGCAGGGGCGGCGGCGGCCGCGTGCAATGGAAAGCGAGGGCGAGCGATGAGAAGAGCTTTTATTTCTCTTTTTGTTCCATAAATAAAAAAGTAGAAAAATTTTACTTCTTATTCAGGTTCCAAATCTATTTCTGAATTAAAAATTTGTTCCAACAATAGAAAAATGAAATTGTGTTACCAAATAGATTTCTGTGCCAAACTTATTCTCGAAAACAGAAAAATAAAAAAATATGAATCTATAATAGTTATCATGCGCGCCCTAAGTGTGTGGTGTGTGGACAGACTAGGCCCATACTGTGACATCCTCAATCCAACGATGTTTAATTGCGCATCATTTGACCCTTAATTGATTTTTAGAAGATTGCACATTAATATGCCATGTGCATAATTGGTGTCCTATGTTTATTAACCTATAGTTTTGCATTTAATGCGACTTCTAGAAGTTTGATTTGGGAAGAAACCCAAATTTGGTCTTGTCTTGGAAGGATTGGGCGCCACGTTTGAAGGAAGAGGAGGAGATTCACTTGGTTGACTTTTAGTTTGGTTATCTTGGTTAGTCCCCAACCAATCACATGTGCCTATTTCTGTAGCCATGATTACCTAGGAGTGAGGCTTGTTGAAGAAGACTTCCAAGATGGCTTATTGTCCATGAAGTTACTTGGTTGGGAGCAAATTAAGGAGCAAATTAAGGAGCTAGACTAGGCTTGGTAGTTGAATCATTAATGCACTTGCATTATTGGGGTCTTCTTGCAAGAGCACTTAAGGGAGAAGCCTTCCTCATTTCTCTCATTTCTCACTCTCACTCACTCTCATTTCTCTCCCTCTCCCTCTCCCTCACCCTCTCTCTCTTTCATGTCCTCTTCTCCCCATCGCCGCTCGCCGCTGTGCCGTCCACCGTCGCATCACACCGTCGCCGCACCGCACTGTCAGTTCGCGCCGACCACCGTGCCGTGCCGTTTGTCCATTCGCCGTGCCATTATTCGCCACCAAGTCGCTTGCCACCATGTCATCTACTCAACGCCGTCGCCGTTCATCCATCTTCGTCCGGAGTACAACTGATTTCGTAAGTAGTTCTTCTAATCCGTGGATAAAACGTTATTCTACACATTTCAGACTTAGGTTTAGTCTTGTTTGAGCTTGTTCCATCATGTGTGTGGCTATCCTTGGCTAGGGATTATTATGGATGGATTGTGTAGGTACGGAAGGTTAGTCGGAATCATCGTTGGATGACGCGAATGCTTGTCTTGCCTTATTTTGCTTGTTCTAGGAAGATGGAGCCATATAGCAATTTTGTGAGGTTTGCTCATGAAATGTTTCCGCTATTCTTATTCTTGTTATTAATTGCCGTGCGGATTTATATGGTTCCTTGATGCACGTTTATGTTGTGGGGATCAAGGTGGGATGTATGTGTTCTTGTGATTGTTTGTTGTAATAAAACTCGCAAGTTGTCACTTAGTTAGGAGTTATAAGAAAAACAACGTTGTATGTCACCTTGCGGGTGTCCATCTTCACAAGGTAGGTTTGTAAATGAAGTGTGTGCGATTTGGCATGTTGAAGAGTTGCGGTTGTTCACATGTGATTATTTTAGTGCATTTTTACGTGTGGGGGATTTTAGATATCTAACCGTGTGAGCATTAAACACTCTTGCATTGGCCTAAGTGAAAGATAATAATTGGCTTGAGTGCTTGATATGCTTGCGTAATCACATAAATGGTTTCGTATTCGTATGATTGCGGAGGACGATGCCCGATGGATTTCGGCTGCCGTTCGCGATAGATTTTGGAACGATGCTCTTAATTGAATGCCGTCTTCGAGTGAGGTCAAGACGTTACCGTGCCCGATAGGATGGGATGATGCTCAGTTATGCTAGATGATCACTGACGTAAGTGTCAGTCGTGGCAGTGAGCGATCGTAATAATCGGAACACGTGTGAATGTATTGTGCATGAATATGTGATATGAAGTGTTCTTGATTACTATGTATAAATATTGCATGCTAAGTAGAAGCGAGGTTCCACATGTGCTTGTTTGTGTGAATTTTATGTGCCGATAGGAGGTAAGAATTTGCGTGTGATTATTTGATTGTGTTTGGCATGTTTCCAAGGCGAGGTATCCTCCTATACAAGCTTTAGAGATTCTACTTATTGAGTTTTACTCTTTTTTTTGTTGTTAACTTCTTTTCATGCTTATAGGTATGAATAATCGCTTCGTCCGTTTTGGGTACCCCGTTACTAGGGAGGTGGACGTTACTGTGATTGTGGTAGCAGGGAGCGATACTACCTATCGGAAGCACATCACTACAGTTTGGATCGATGAGGGCTTAGAACACTTGGTTCTTCATCGTTTTGTGGCCTGGTTCTTATGGTTCAACGGGGATCTCTATGGTCCTCTTCGTGAGTTCGACGGACTCCCGGGTGATCTTGACGGAGCCCCATTAGACCCCTATGTTGTGGGGAATCCTCTCGATGGCGCTGTGAGTGACTCGAGCCCGACCCGGACTATGATCTCAAGCCCGAATCATAGAGAATTAGTCTCCTGTGGTGGAACCACTTTTTGGAAGCCACCCTCGTAGATAGAGGAGTTAGGTTTAACCCCGACCCTTTTGATTGAAATCGGAAAAAAGGCCTGTAGTAACGGGTTTGTATTTTGCTAACGTCCGATTGTTAACGATGCATATATATATGAAGCATGCTTTTGTGTATATGTTTTCCTTGCTATCCGCTTGTTATTGTTGATTGGGTGATGTTTAAGTATGCTTCCGCATGTGCTTAATTGAAAGATAAAAGAAACGGGTTGGCGACGCCTCCTGGGACATCGCAATTCTATGACCTCGCGATTTTCGTGCGCCCGAGGTTCGGTGGGTAGGGTGCGGGGCGTGACAACCCCGTCGATTTGGTATCAGAGCATGGTCATTACCTGAAATGATAAGGTGCACTGGGATTTTGGGATAGTTAGTTAGGAAAACACCCTATGCTTGTGAGTGCTGATTGTTTTCTTGAATAGGTATTCTAGATTCCTGACCTTTTGTTGGGATTGTGTAGCGAACTTTCCCCTAGAATCCCTGTAAGATGAGTAACCCAGAACCAATAGCCCCTAGAGGAAGGGCATCCTAGAGCCAAGCAGGTGCAAGTGGAAGGGCACAAGAGGATCGTCGATTGGATAGGATTATGCAAGCTTTGGAAACCATGGGAAATCTGATGCGACAACAGGCTCAAAATGCTGCTGCTGCCGCTCCCAGTGATGTCCCATTAGCTAGAAACGGGAATTTTGGATGACAGATGCATAAGCTGGTGGAGTAGTTCCTAAAACTGAAGCTATCAAAGTTTACTGGGACGATGATCCCGAGGCAGCGACCTTATGGATCAAGGAGCTGGAGAAAGCTTTTGCACTCCTGAGGTGCTTAGAGGAAGACAAGGTAACGCTGGCGGTATACCAACTGCAGGGTAACGCTAGTAATTGGTGGGAGGCCACCCAAGGAAGGATTTTTCCTGAAGGTACAATCCCAACCTGGGATGCCTTTGTTGAAGCCTTTAATGGAAAATACTTTTCCGAGTGTGCACGTGAGCAGAAGATGGTGGAATTCCCGTGACGTCGCCAGAACAATCTGTTAGTTGATCAGTATGAGGCCAAGTTCGCGGAGCCGTCGAAATACGCGCCTAGAATGATCAAGGATCCAGTAGATAGAGCAAGGAGAAACCGGGATGGTCTAAAGCCAGAAATTCGAAGTCAGTTGGTGCCCCTGAACCTGAAAGATTACAACGAGCTGCATGAGCGGGCCCAGCTAATAGAGAGATTTGTCGGAATGAGCAGCCGCGTTTGAATTGCGGTATTCTTCTACCTGAGACAACCATCGGTTCAGGAAGGAGCCAATGACTGGGGGAAAACACTTCATCCCTCCCAACAAGAAGAATGGCATTGGAAAGCCAGTGTACTCTTCGAACGGCGTATGTAGATTTTGTGGGAAACGACATGGAATAGCCCCGTGCCTCACCAAAATCGGAACATGTTTCGAGTGTGGCCAGCAAGACCATCAAGTGAGAAACTGCCCACGCCGATCAACAGGGATGCAACCTCACTCGCTACACGTGGGACAACAAGCTGGAATCATGCTGCAGAACAACCTCGTTCGACCCCTAGCATAAGGAAGAGTGTACGCTGTGACCAAATAGAAGGCAAAGGACTCTCAGGCCGTGATCACAGGTATGGTCTCCTTACATGACCATGCTGCTTATGCACTCTTTGATATGGGAGCTACACATTCGTTCGTAGCCGAATAGTTCGTTAGATTAGCAAGATTGGAATCGAAACCTTTGGGGACAGTCCTTAGTATTTCCACTTCAATGAAGGACAATGTGTTGTTTATCTTAGGCTGTCAAGGGTGTGAAATAAGTATAAGTGGACGGAAGGAAATCATAGACTTAACTGTTTTGGCTATGTATGACTTTAACGTCATTATCGGAATGAATTGGCTCAAAAAGCAATGAGCTATGGTGAACTGTTATAGTAAGGTAATCCAGATCAATCCGTTTGGCGGTCCTAGCTATGAGTTCGTAGGAAATTGGGGACGAGTTTATAGG